CTGCTCAGCACCATCACGAGTTGCAGCCACACTCTGCCACTTCTCCAAGACTTTACTGGCTGACCACTAAATAAACCAAATTAATTGGGCTCTGATCAGTTAAAACACCCCCAGCTGCAGAGCACATTCACTGTTTATACCTAGAGACCTAAGGGCTCTCACCAGACATTTTGATGTCCCCCCAGCACGGGGGGACAGCTTGGGGACAGTTCTGAGGGCACGAGGCACTTGCCTTTAAAGCCATTTGGCAGCTCCCTGTTCTTGCTGCCACAGAAACATCGATCACAGTCCTACCCACGGAGACCTTTGGCTTTTCTAAAAGTCTTATTTAATTATTTATCACTGCTTGCTGAATAAAACATGGCACTTTCTGCAGCTGAGGGATCCTCCACGTGACACACGTGGGATTTCCAGGCCAGACCTTCCCCAGGCACAACATGTGCTCACGGTTGGGGACCGGGATGAGGCTCCTTGGAGGGGAAGGGGGAGAAGAACCCTGAATATTTGGGCAGTTGGCTGGAAAGTAAATTTAAAAAATATTAATGGAAGGATCCATAAGATAACAATGCACCCTGGGGGACACAGGAATGATCCCAGAGATGTGTATTTCCTGATAGTGCTTTGCACCAGACTTTCTTCATAGGGCATCAACTTTTGGCCAAAAATCTGTGCTTACAACACTAATTTAAGCTCACTAAGATCACGTTATAGCTGGTTCTATTCCTGTTGTGCTTGTCAAACACACATTTCCAAGCCATCTGTTGGCACTGCTGGCACTGGTTGCTGTAAATGCTCAATACAGACATTTAAGGAAACATTTAAGGAAAACTTTAGTCATTTCTGTGTTTCCAGCACTTGGCCTCGAAGCTTTGCCCTGTTCTGCTCTCATCCCAAGGCTCCTGTTTTCCCAGATGATGTCACCCTGACAAGTTTTTTGGATTCAATTAAACATGGCAAAGACTGACACTATTTGCACCAAAATCAAGTGCAACTTTCAGCTCCAAATTGCTCTGAAGTCCTGAATCTGTGCAAACCCAGGTATTTCCATGGCAACGGTCAGGACATCAGGAGGGAAGGGGATGATATTTTGGCAGCAGAGAGGGGAGGTTGGGTGGGGAGGAAGGAGGACTGAGGCACATGGACTGAAAGGAGATGTGAAGAAGGGGAAAAGCAGCACAAAACCTGCTCTGGGGATGAAGGATCCAGCCATGGGTTTCTGGAGCATGAGAGCACTTGTGCACCCCTTTGCTTTTATCTTTAAAAAGAGAGGAAATGGTCCCCAGTGATCAGCGATGCTCTTCAGAGCAGATCGATGCAGGCAATCCAGGAATGCTGCATAAAGGATATCTGTTTACTCCTGGTACAGGAACAGCTGAAAAGGGCTGCCCTGGGTGCTTAAGAGACATCAGAAGGTCCTTCTGCAAACAGCAGCTTTCATTACCAACCTGCAGCTCATCATCCTCATTTCATCCTCATCTTCATCTTGCCTGAGCACTTTTGACAGCCACGCAAAAGCCTTTTTCTTTTTTTTTTTTTATGAACTGGCTTTGAGAGCATTTAAAGCTCTCAACATTAATTTTTCAAATCCTAGTAGCATTAAATTAATTTACAATTTTCTACCAATCCAGAAGGAAATAGCTGGCACTGACGCCCGCAATCTGATATTTTGGAACCACGGGCACACAGAAAAACAAACCCATGATGCAAAAATATTGCTCTTACCAGTGATTTGTGTTATTTAGCCACAAACCAGACAATGTGGCTGCAAAGTGGGGGCTTCATTTAAAGGGTGGGAGGAAGAGACTCACTGTTGTCCCCATGACACATGATGAAGGAATTAGTCAACAGCTACACAGTGACAAGCATTCAAGCTATTAAAAACAAACAATATATCTGATAGAAGACAAGCAGGCTGTGGTCAAACCAAATTTTTAAAAGAATTCTAAGAACAGGCAGCAAAATGTTCAATCCAAGCTCAGCGGTTACTGACGAGTAAAGAACTAAAGCTGCTTGCTGAGTGGCAAGTTAAATATAAACTAAGTTTTTGCAGAAGAATAACCAAGATGACTGTTTACTTTCATATTCCATTCAGCTTTTCACTCAACTCATTTTCCAGGCACACACAGTACAGGTGTATTGCACTGGTAACACCTGCTTCCCCACCCACTCCTCTGTGCAATGCAGTTACCTGGAGGTGATTAAAAATAGACCTCCTCTATTAAAAACGAAACTTGTAAAAGAAGGGGAGGAGCACAGGCTCAAGGAGAATATTTGTAGTCAAAAACCCATACTCCTTCAAACCTGGGTATTTCAGGCTCTGGGTTTGTAAAGAAGCCTCATTCCACCTGATTAAAGCTCTAAAAAAAAAAAATAAAAAAAAATCAGAATATTGGTTGTGCTTCTTATCCTGCATAACAGGAAACAGGATTCCTTACCAAGTCAGACTTCTCTCCCTCCCTTGCAGCCTGCTGACAAATAGTCAATTCTGCAGCTTCCGGGCTTAGTTTGATTTACTGTGACCATATGGGGAGGGGGAGAGGAAGGAGACAGTGACAGATAACACAACTCATCTCAACATGTACAACCACTGCAGCGCAGGACTGCTTCAAAATAAAATGCATTAACCATGGCAACAGCCCAATACCGAGGGCTGCTGGCTCACACAGTGCTCTGGGTAATGTCAGTTTACTGTTGATCTCCCTGCTCGGATCAGACCTCGCCTTCCCAGTGTTCTACTCACTCAGTTATGGCACTGGGATGACCCATGTGGCACAGCTCCCCAGGGATGATCCCTGGCTGTCCCCTGTCTCAGCAGAGCTCACCTGCACTGAGGGCCCCAGCAGCTCACACAGAGCCATGGCTGAAGCAAAACCAGACATGGTTTAGTGACATGACAATACATAGGTTTGTGGAAGGTAAAAATTCTGGGAGTGGGAAAAAAAAAACAAACAGGAGGTTTCTGTAGTTGGCCCTTTCTACTGCTCCCTGGAGTCTGCACAAGCTCCTGACTTAACCTGGGGTCAGTTTAGGAGAGGAAGAAAAACCAAAAACATGAGCAAAATAGGCCTAATGAGCAGGGAGCAACAGACACAAGAATGTCCCACCTGCTCCCAGTTTCAGAAATGCTGCTAAATAATTAATTACATAATCTACAGGATCATGTTTCCCCAGGTTTTTTAATTCCTACCAGAACAAAGCCCAGGTGGAGAGCACAGAGTGTGGGTCCCCCATAGAATTCCCCCACCTGTGTGGCTGTGGGCACCAGGCAGGGAGAAACCGCAAAGGAAGGGCAACCATGGAGGCAACCTGTGTAGGCAGAGAACCCACATCCCCACCAACATCCCAAGGTGGAGTCCAGAGTGATGGGACCACAAGGAAAAAGTCTGTGCTCTGCATCAGCACTAATGGGCTGCTGGAGAGATCCCAGAGCCTGTCAAACACCCCCACCACAGCACCAGGGCAGAAAGGCTTTCCCCACGCACCCCTCCCTCCTACAGGCTTTACTAACATTCACCAAACCCACGTTTACCTCCCCAAATGCCAGTGGGAAGGATATGTCACAAGCCCAGCTCTGCTCCCTGAGGCACGAGCTGCACCTTCTCCCAGCACACAGCCCTGGGAGGGAGTGAAGCCAGGCATTGAAGGCCAGCACGGGAGATGCTCACGGGCAGTGAGAGCCCACAGAGGCACAGTGGGCTCTGGAAGAAGCTCCCAGCTGGGAGCACAGCCCTCACCTCCCACCCCCAGAGGCAGCCGACGCTCAGGCCGTCGTGTCTCTGCGCTCAGGAGCAGCCACAGACAGTAATAATGAGATGGCAGCTCCATCCACGACGCTAAATAAATGTCATACCCTTTTCCTGGTTTAATAGCTGTTGCCCAGGCAACCGGTAGTATTCCTTAGCACCACACCCGGCAGAGGATTAAAGGTGGAAAGTGGTCTGGATGAACAGCAATGTCACTATCCCCAGACCCACCACCCACAGATCTGGTTCACATGACCCCAAGCAGTGTCTTCCACTTCCCAGAGCCCCTAAGGTGGGTATCGAGATGCTCATAAGACCAGAAACAAAACATCACTCATCCCCTCTCCAATATCCCGGGGGGATGACCTGCAGGGACAGACCACGGGCAGGAGGTGACAACCACTCCCGGTGACCCAACGCTCCAGCACAGGGCAGGACTCGGCTCCTCGATGTACTGTGGGCTCTCGGTGTAACACCACAGGCGATAAACACGGAGCTCTGCGCTGGCGGAGGAGCTCGAGGCAGCCCAGCATAAAACACGGTCTAAACTAATAGAGTTAAAGATGCCTGAGAAGAAGGAGCAGAGCGAGATGCGAAATGCCATCACCCTGCACTGGGCACACTTGTGTCCACCCCCCTTTTTCCCGACGAGGGTGCCCAGCACCCGCCGCCCCCCGCCCTGCCAAGGAGCACCGCGCTGCCGGGAGGGCTCGTCCCATCCCCGCTCCCAAGGGAAGGATGCAGCACTGGGACTCGCCCCTTTTTCCCTGCGGAAAATCCCAAGTTGTGGTGTGCTCTGCGCCCAGGCAGAGGCGATTTTCCCAGGATGCGGGGCGCTGGGATGCCGGGCACTGGCGCTGCGGGGATGCTCCTCCGCCCGCCGAGACCCGCAGCCGCGCCCGGGTGGGCTGATGGCCCCGGGGTGGGCTCTCGGCCCCGGTCGGGGATGTTTTGGGGTTTTTTTGGGGGGGGGGGGTGCTGTTTAACCCGCGGCAGCAGCAGCGGGAGCCCGGGATGCCGCGGGCGGGCGTGCCCGGGGCTCCCCCTGGGAAGGTCCCCGCGGGGCACCGGGCCGGGGGTCGGGGGCTGCTCCCGGGGGTCCCGCACCCACCTCCTTCTTGACGGTGCGCAGCAGCCGCTGCCGGGTCTCCGCCTCTGCGGGGAGAAGAGGAGAGAGAGGCCCATTAGTGCGGCCCGGCCCCGCCGGCCCCATCCCCGGTCCCCCCGTTCCCATCCTCACCCGCCGGGGCCGCCGCCATGGCCCTGCTCGGCTCCGCAGCGCCCGCAGACTGCCGGGCACACCGGGACGGGCCGCCCGACCGACCGCCCCGCCGGGGAGGGGCCGCCGCAGCCGCCAATCCGCGCCCGGCACCGGGAACCGAGCACCGAGCACCGGCACCGGCACCCCCGGCACAGCCGACACCGAGCACCGGCACCCCCGGGCACCCCCGGCACCGGGACCCCCGTCACCCCCGGGACTCCCGGCAGCGGCACCCCCCGTACCCCTCGTACCCCCGGCAGCCCCAGCACCGATCCCCGGGCACCCGCAGCACCCCCGACACCAGGCACTGACACCGGCATCGCCGGGCACCAGCACCCCCGGCACTGGCTCAACCGGGACCGGCCCCTCACTGGAGTTCCAGCCATCCTCCAGCTCCCGGGGACACCACTGCCACCAGGCCTCCCCCCCGAGCTTGGACCCTTTTCCCCCCAGCCAGGACCCAGGTGACCCCAGGCCGAGGTGCCCCGAGGTGCCTGGGGACGGCAGCCGGGTGACACGGGACAGGGAGAGCCCTCGGGGTGTCCCTGCACACGAGGTTGCTGGGGCAGTGTCCATCCTTGGATAGGGGTTCAGAGTTCTGAGAGTCCCATGAAGGGGGAAGCACCCATGTGCTCACAGCCCCACACCATCCAGGCACACTCCAGGGACCAGAGGAGACCAAGTCATAAGAGACCCTTTTTTCCTCCTCTCAAAATCACAGCCCCTCGGAAAGTGGCCCTCCTGCAGCTCTATTAATGCATCTTCTGTTTTTCTCTTTCCTCATTTGGTGTTCCAGGACATTTCCATAGAAACAGCATCCCGGCTCCTCCGCAGTCCAGTTTCCAATAACTACAAAACACATTATTGCAAGGGCAGCAGTGCCCGGACGTGCTGCATGTGGGCACAGGGCCACTGGCACAGCCCCACTGGCCGTCCCTGCCATTGGGACTAATCCTGGCATGGACAGCAGGGACGTGCTCCCACCTCTGCCAGCCCCCCGTGATCTCCTCTGCTGCTCCCAGAGCTGAGCTGCACCCTCTGCCTCGGAGCCTTTCACTCCATCCTGGTGCTTGGTGGCTCTGGAGACAGCAGGAATGATGCTCCCAATGGTTCCTCTCCAGTAACTGGACTGGCAGGAAAACAGGAGGGAGCTCTGGGCTCAGGCTTAATCTGAATTCACTCCCTTCTGCGCCTTACAGGGGCCAGGAGGAGACCTGGGCCATATCCCTTGTAGCGGAAAACCTATTTCCGTGTCCTCTGTTTGCTTTTCACTGTTTATTTCCTGTTAACAAAGGTGGTGGCAGCACAAATGTTACAAAGTTGCAGCAACAGGCACAGCTTGATTGGGAATATGTGATCCCTGATCCAGATAGATTCTAGGATCCATGGGAATCTGGCCTGGACAGCTCTGGGTGCTGCTGGTGGGTTCACAGCTCCCCTCTGCAGTCACTGAGCGTTGACTTGACCCTCAGGATTCTGATCCCAGCCCAGGGATTCACCCTGGCCTAAGGTTGGGCTCCCTGCAAGTGACACAGGACTTGCTGTGCCATGCTGGGGACTGTGTGCCTGGTTTGTCCCTATGGCTGCAGCTCTGCTCCTTATGGACACTGGCTGTGGACCCCCTCTCACGAGCTGCACCAGCACATCCCCTCTGCCCAGCAGCCTTTGGCAGGGGTCTGTCCATGGAGAACCCTGTGGATGCGGTCCCCTTCCCCAAAAAGGGGTGTGGGAGGAGAAGGACCAAAGATACAGGAGCCCAAGGCTTTCCTGGTCTGACCTGAGACCCACGGCCCAGTCAGGAGCTGGCCCTGACCAGGGGCTCCAGCCGTGCTTGTAGCTCTGCCACCCTGCCTGTCATTTACTGGTGACCACAGGCCCTACAGCCTGGACAGGCAATTAATACACACTAATAAATACCCATGATGATGTGTCCTGGCCTCATCAAACACCGTGTGGGAGCACCATGAGATAGTAGTGAGTGCAATTACCAGGGCAGAGGCAGCTCACTTGCTCCCCTGGCCCCAAATTTTCCCTGGGGCAGAGCAGAGCTGTGGCTCTGTGTACCTGTGGATGCTGGCACAGAGAAGGTGCCAGGTTCCTGAGAAGCTGGGCACAGCACCATGTCAGGTACAGCCTGGCACAGCTCCAGTCTCTATGAAGCTTCTCCAGCCAAGGATGAGACTATCTGACCTAAACCTGCCATCCAGGAACAGCCCTGGTACACAGGAGTAATAAATTGCTAATTTATTACCTTACTTTGGGGAAAAATCTGCTGAAAGAAGCACAAGGATAAGCTCTCCCCAAGCCTTGCTGATTCCTCTCTCTTGGAACATTCTTCTTCTCCCTGGATTAAAGACAGGTGGGAGACGATTGGCCCCTATTTTCTGGAGCCTGGAGAGCTTAAATGAGAGCACGTTGATCTATACTTAATGTGATTAAGTTACATCTCTGATTATCATGCTAATTAAATTAAACTTCCCACTACTGCCTCTGCAGCTTAAACAGGATAGTTGTTTTAAGACCACAATTCGCTCCTCTGCGTTTCCCTGCACAGATGAGCAGGTGGGATAAAAGCAATCTGCTAATCAAGTCATTGTGGTGTTTTGAAACAACTTCTACTGCAGTGGATATTCAAATTTAAATCTGATTTGAGCTGGATTTAAACTGTTTTCAATCTAAGGTCACTTGCGCTTCGAGTAAGGAAAATAACAGGAAAAAGCAGAAATAAATGGAGTGTGTCTGTGTTCAAACAGCAAGCTATTGGAAGAAATTCTTCCCTGTGAGGGGGGTGAGGCCCTGGCACAGGTTGCCCAGAGAGGCTGTGGCTGCCCCATCCCTGGAAGTGTTCAAGGCCACGTTGGACAGGGCTTGGAGCAACCTGGTTAAGTGGAAGGTGTCCCTGCCCATGGTGGGTGGAACAAGATGAGCTTTAAGGTCCCTTCCAAACCAAACCATTCCATGATCTCCCCAAGACACCTCTCCCTCGCCCTCCTCCCGCCTTCAGCTGCCCTGAGAACCTGAGAACCTGCACTGCTCTTTCCACCTTGCAGCTTCTAAAACAAACGGAGATTTCAAAGCTCTGCCCTCATTGCTTTGACAGCGTGGCCCTGACCCGCTGCGGAGGGACGGGGGCACGGGTGGGGGGTCAGGCGCCCCAGGAGAGGGTGGGAGCTGGGGAAGCAGGATGGGAGCACTGGGAGCATTCATGGCTCATTCACCAGCAAGGACCTGGGGGATCTGTCAGGGATGGAGGTATTGAACTGACGGTGCAGCACATCCCTGGGCTGGAGTGGAGCAGCAGTGGTGCCTGGGAAACAGATACCGGGCAGTGCCTCAGCACAGGGAGCTTTCAGACAGCAACGGGCACATCCCTGTGCTGGCAAAGCACTGCACAGCTCCAGCTTGGAGCTGCTGTGGGAACAGCTCCAACTGTGCCAGGCTCACACTGTTCCTGCACTCCCAGCTCTGCCCAAGGTGGGAGGACAAAGCGCATCCCATGTGATTTAACAGATTAATGTGGGGAAAACAAGGGGCTCTTTAGGAGACAAAGTCTCCTTCAGCTTTAAACGATGTCAGATTCACACCAGGAAAGCGGTCTGAGCCCAGCACCCTGTGCTGAGGGTGTCCTTGCTCCACACAGACCCCTGCAGACCCCCACAGACACCCACAGTCCCCTCAGACCCCTCAACCAGCTCCTTCAATCAGACCTGACAGTGACTGAGTCCATCTGCTGAGCCTTTCTGAGCAGAGGCAGGACCAGGGCACAGGAGGGTCTCCCCCTTCGTTACACAGAGCTATTCCATGTAAACCGCCCAGAGAAAAGAAGGGTCAGCAACAGAGAAAATGCTATTATCTATTATTTTTTACAGCTGCTATGGCACCAGCTGCCTCTGTTCTGTCATTTATGCTTGAGCTGGTCTTTGGTCAGGGTGTTAAACCCTGCTCCCCTGGCACACTCCACCGGCAGATCACACCAGCAGCAGGGATTTCTCACCTTCATCCCAAAGCCTGGGACAAGGACAGCCCCTCTGGCAGCCCCCGCAGCCCCCACTGCTGAGCACAGCCTTGGCTTTCATCTCCACACCCGGGCTGAAGGACTGGGACTGGAATCCACAGCTCTGCAAAGTCCCAGGAGTGACACAAATCCTGTATAAACCGCAGGAGATTAACTGTCCCTCACCTGTGTGCTGGGGCTTGGCTCAGGGAGAGCTGCACTGGGGCTCATGGAGGGGGGCTGATGGTGGAGGGGCTCTGTCTGGCTGTGGTGGGACTCCCCCAACCTCCACTCACTCTCCACTCAGAGCAGAGACCACCCTGACACCCTCCCACCCAACCCCTTCACTTGGGGTAAAGTCTCATTGCTCCTCATAAATCCACAAGCAGGAAACTTGTATTTGAAAGGAGAGGTGTTCAAGGAACAATAATGTCATGTTAAAGGAACAATAATTTTGGGCTCCCCAGCACAGAGGGAGAAGCCTGTAGAGTGCAGCCCACCCGATGCGGGGATTGATGGGACCAGAACCTACACCCATCCCTGCCCACTGGGAAGGGGCAGCCCTGGGCTGGGCACCTCAGTTCGTGCTCCCCACACGGGGTCAGGGGACACCCAGGGGCACACAGTGAGGTGGGGTGGCTCATTAGGATTAAAAATCCCCTTCCCAGGGCTCTCAGGGTCATGTGCAGGCAAGGAGCTGACGGATAATGTTCCCTGGCAGAGCCATGTCCCCTGCTCCTCTTCCACAACCAGGGGTGTGCAGATGTGGCACTTAGGGACATGGGTGAGTTATGGCCTTGGCAGTGCTGGGGGAACAGTTGGATTTGATGGTCTTAGAGGGCTTTTCCAACCTCAGTGACTTCATGATTCTGTGATTCCATTCTATGACACCCCCAAACAGCCGGGGCCAGACACACCAAAAAAATAAATGTGTTTTTACTGGAGGTTTCTAATGGGTCTCCATGTGTATGCCTGAGGGATTAACAGTGTCCAGAGGCTTCCCGTGCCGGGCAGACACCGGGCAGACACCAGGCAGCTGCGTCACGTCGTCACAGCAACCCGCTCACCCTGGCCCTGAAGCCGCAGCTCCAGCTCCGGCTCTCATGGTCTTTCCTGGAGTTTCTTTTAATTACAGATGAGAAAGGCTGGGACAGTCAGGGCTGGAGCCCCCCAGAGCCTTGGGAGCACCCGGTGACCCCGTGCCCAAGCATGTATCACTGCAATAAAATCTGCTGTTAAACTGACACAGGGCAGAGCGGTGGCTCTGGGGACACTGCCATTCCCTCCTGGTCACAGCTCAGCAGTGAAAGTTATTTCAATTTCATGTGGCTTATTCCCAACAATTCACACCCTAGAGAGACCCAGCGAGCCCAGATGGATAAGGTGACCTTTAAATGTCCCTTCCAACCCAAACCATTCCATGATTCCTGATCTTTCCCTGCAAAAATGAGTGGTCACCTCCTCCGTTGGGTCTGGTGCCATCATTTGCAGAGTGGTAACAGCAAAACACCAGGGACAGAGAAATAAGGATTTTTCAGGAGGAAGGAGGAAACATGGTCCTGTTTCACCAGCCCAGCCCCCAAATACACCCAGCAGGTACTGAGGGGATGGGACCCGCAGGGCAAGGCTGGTCCCTGTGGGGTCAGGCTGGTCCTGTGGGGTCAGGCTTGTCCCCACGGGGTGAGGTGAGTCCCCACAGGGTGAAGCTGGTGGTCCCTGCGGGGTCAGGCTGGTCCCTGCTCGGGGGCTGCTCTCCCCTCCTGCCTTTGATCAGAGCTCTGCTTTCCCTGCCGGCTGCTCTCCGTGCCGTGGGTTTCCAGCGGGAGGTGGGGAAGCGCAGTCAGCCTGACCCTCCCCTCCTCGGATCTGTCATCAGCAACAGAAAAATCCTCCCCGGCCCCAAGTTGCTCAGCCTGAATCCTGCAGGATTTGCCGGGGCAGCAGGATGGCAGAGCAGTCCTGCCCGGGTCCCCTTACCAGCCTTGCACCCTTGAACCCTCAAACCCACCCCAGGGACAAGTGGAGCAAAAAGATGGATTTCCTCCTCTCGGTCATCGGATTTGCCGTCGATCTGGGAAACGTCTGGCGGTTCCCTTACATCTGCTACCAGAACGGAGGGGGTAAGGACACCACTGGGGTTATTTAAGTCTTCTTTAGAAGAAAAGACATATTTTTTCTCATTTTTCCATCTTTCCCACCCTGAAAAACTCCCTGTTTCTTTTCTTTCTTTGTCTCCAGCTGCTCTGCTCTGGACAGGGCGGTTTAGAGACTGACCCAACTTCTCCTGACATCTCTCTCTGTTCTGTTTGCATCTTTCTTCATTCAAAATCCTCCTCCATTCCCTCCATCCTCCTTCCCTGGGGTCCTTCCCTGGTGTCTTTCCCTCCTTTCCCCGTGGGGCTAGAGGTGTGTTAGCAGCTCTAGGATCACAAAGGGAATACTAGCGCGATCCAAACCACGATAAAGGATTAAGGTCTCTAAATTTGGGGTGGGAGGTTCATACACTTTATGATCATGGGACTCTGGGAAGCTGCCCTTTAGGGTGGCTTGGTTTAAAATCATCCTCATGAGGATCCCAACCTCCTGCTGTGGATGTTGGCCAGCAATGCTGGACCCCATGAACAGCCCTGGATCCGGGGGGTTCAGCCTGTGAAGGATCAATGGAAAATGAAGACACAAAAGCTCTGTGCAGGAAAAATCTTTCAGTAAATGACAACTAAATAAATTGCTTTAAATGGAGCAGGGTAGAAACCTCTCTCACGTGGAAATCAAAAAGGAGGGACGAGAATTTTGTGCTGTTTGGGAAAGCACAGCGGATTTAATTGCCAAAGTCAGCTTTCAGGGAACATCCTCTACTGCTTGGGAAAATTAGAAAGAGATAATTAGTTCCATACTCAAGGCAAAACTGTGGATCCCAGGTGCCCACACTGAAGCACAGTTATTTGTGAGTTGCTCCTGTGGGACTGGGACCAAAGCTGAGCCCCTCTGTGTGGCTGTGGATCGGGTGGGGGATTTCCACCCACCCCACACACACAGGAGGGTGAGGAGTTCAGGCAGCAGCTCTGGGGGAGTACAGCCATAGTCTCTGTAGAACAGGAGCACCAGGATGGCCACTGCTGGGCTCACCCACAGCCCAGGACGTGGCTGGAAGGGAAACACTGGAGAAAACATTGTCCCACTGGGCCAGTCCAGTCTGGCAAATGGGGGAATACAGGAGGGTGCTGGGGATACTGAGGATGATGCTGAGAGTGGTGGGGATACTGGGCGTGCTGGGGGTATTCGGGATACTGGAGATGATGCTGGAGATGCTGGGGATACTGGGGATGCTGAGGGTGCAGGGGATACTGGGAATGTTGGGGGCGCTGGGGATGCCACATCACACACACACAGAGGGCTCTCAGAGAGAGGAGCCGTGGGGGTTAAATTAACTAGTCCCAGCAGAACTCAGAGAGCGGCTCCACTTCCAAAACCTCCATGGGGTATGAGTGTAGCCCTGGTAAAAATGAGACTGTTATGAATAATGCAGATTACAGCTTAATTATGTGTCTTGGGGTGGCTGTGCATATTCAGTGGAATTTTCTCCAAAATACTTCTAGACCTGAGGGGTGCTTAGAGTCCCTTCCCCTGCACCCCAATGGTTTGTGTGGCTCTTTGTACCATCCTGGCCAGCGGGGGAGTCTGGGAAGCCCAAAAAGCTGGGACTCCAAGCAGAGTCTCTCGTCTCTGAGCCCCAGATCATTTCCAAAGCATCTCACAAACACATCCAAACCCGACGTGCCGCACTGGGGCAGCACCGTGAGGGAGGAAGGTGACAACACCATGGTCCTCCCCTCGCAGCCTGGTGGTGACCCTGCTCTGCTCCCTCCCCACAGGAGCCTTCCTCATCCCCTACACGCTGATGGCTGTTTTTGGAGGGGTGCCCCTCTTCTACATGGAGCTGGCCCTGGGGCAGTTCCACAGGACAGGAGCCATCCCCATCTGGAAGCGCATCTGCCCCATCTTTAAAGGTGAGAGCCCCCCAGCCCAGGCCCCACGTGCTGGGGTGCAGGGCCGTGCCGGCAGTGCCGCTCCCCACAGACGTGTCCCAGGGGCTGAGCCTGCTCTTGGCTTTTCCCAGGCATCGGATTTGCCATCTGCATCATCGGCCTCTACGTCTCCTTCTACTACAACACCATCATTGCCTGGGCTCTCTACTACTTCTACTCGTCCTTCTCGGGCACCCTGCCCTGGGCGAGCTGCGACAACTCCTGGAACACCCCTGACTGCACCAACTACTTCGGCAGGAGCAACGTCACCTGGACCAACTTCTCCAGGTCCCCTGCTGAGGAGTTTTACACGTAAGTCAACGGATGTGGATGGTGTGTTAAAGCTGGGCATGTCCCTGTGGAGGCACTTGGGTCTGCTGCTTGGAAGCAGGTGCCTGGGAGCAGGCTGTCAGGTGGGAATGCTCTTGGGGAGCTCACGACTGCCTGCCTAGGGTTGATCCTGCTCCCCGGCCATGGGGATCCCTGCCTGCAGGAGGAAGGTCCTGGAGATCCATAAATCCAGGGGTCTGTACGACATAGGGGGGATCCACTGGCAGCTGCTCCTCTGCCTCTTCCTCATCTTCGCCATCGTCTACTTCAGCCTGTGGAAAGGGGTGAAAACCTCTGGGAAGGTAAGGAGGGCTCCAGCAGCAGCCCTGCCCTGACACGGACATGCCAGAGCCCTGGGCAAGAGGGACCCATCACCAGGTGGGGGTTTTGCAACTCACCTGACTGCAGGAAGAGAAAATATCACCTCCCTCTCCCCCAGCCCCTGCCCCTCAGGGCACCCCGAGTGAGCTGTGCCTGACACAGGGGGGTTGGGTGCTCGGTGGTGCCGCGGGCTGACAGCTGTGTCCCCCCAGGTGGTGTGGGTGACGGCCACCCTGCCCTACGTCGTTCTCCTCATCCTACTGATCCGGGGGGCCACCTTGCCCGGCGCCTGGAGGGGGGTCGTCTTCTACCTGCGCCCAGACTGGGGCAAACTCCTGAGCACTGCGGTGAGTGCACGGGGGGGAGGACGCACTGCCCCAGGGATGGCAGGACACAGACACCCTCCCTGGGACACCCACCCACCCCTGCCCACGGGTCTGGCCCCGCCACAGGGGATGGGGCCTTGTTCCCACAGAAACAAGGTGCCCCGGACAGGTTCTTGGAAATGTAAATCCGTAATTGAATCACCCATTTCATTTTCGCCGGGTTTTGTTTGTGCCGTGCTCTCGCCCCAGCCCGACAATGGGCTTCCTGTGGGTAATTACCAGGCAGCACTTGAGAATTCTCATTAAAGGTAATGAGGGCCGTGCTGCTAGCACCGAACCTGCCGGCAGGAGTGGGTATGGGGGTTTGGGGCTCCCCTCAACTCCATCCCCCTCCAGACATGGGCAAGTACAGGTGACACTGCTTAATTCTGCTGCTGCAGGACCCCAGGGTGGATACCAGCTCCCTCCACCTAGTGACATTCCCTGGGGGGATGGGGCAGGCAGGAGATGAGGTTTGGACACGTGCCAACACAGGCCCCATCCCTGTGCCATGGGGTGTCCGTGCTGTGGGTACCGGGGGGCACCTCCCAGCCCCATCCCAGCCCCAAGGACCCCCTGCCCTGCCCATTCTCCTGTTGCTTCTCCCACCAGGTTTGGGTTGATGCTGCTGCACAGATTTTCTTCTCCTTGGGTCCTGGATTTGGGGTACTCCTTGCCCTGGCCAGTTACAACCATTTCCACAACAACTGCTATCGGTGAGTTCTGCAGCCACGGGCCCCGGTGGACACAGGGGCGGCACAGGCATAGCTGCAGCAGGGACACATCCTGACAGCTCCTGGTCCCCTTGGCCACATCCCAACAGCTCCTGGTCCCCGTGGCTGCAGGCTGAGCATCTTTCCCCATTTCACTGATGATTTTGGTGTGAGGGGCCAGAAGAGGGAACGGGAGGGGGGGAAGGTGGCCAGAGCAGCTCAACCAGGGTGAGGGTTGATCTGGAGGGGGGGAATCTCCCTCCTTTCTGCCTTCCAGGGATGCTCTCATCGCCAGTGCAGTGAACTGCCTCACCAGCTTCCTCTCAGGCTTTGTCATCTTCACCGTGCTGGGCTACATGGCTGAGATGAGGGACGTGGAGGTGGAGGATGTAGCCAGAGATAAAGGTTCTCATCCCTCCAGCAGCACCTTTCCCAAGCACGTTCCCACCCACACCCCAGGCTGTGCCAGGGGACAGCCAACCAAGCCAATGTCCCCTCCTAGGGCCAAGCCTCCTTTTCATCACCTACCCTGAAGCAATTGCCAACATGGTGGGATCCACCTTCTTTGCCATCATCTTCTTCCTGATGATGATCACGCTGGGGCTGGACAGCACAGTAGGTGCCTCTGCAGAAAGGGACAGCCCAGCCATGTCCCCTGCAGGGTGATGAGGGATGGGATGGGACATCCCCACTCTGCCATGGAGGGAGTGGATTTTCTTGGAAGAGCAGGACTGTCCCCACATCCCATTTCCCCACCCCATGCCAGCATTTCCTTTGCAGTTTGGGGGCCTGGAGGCCGTGATCACAGCCGTGATGGATGAGTACCCCCAGCTCCTGGCCGGACGACGGGAGCTCTTTGTCCTCAGCCTCATCACAGTCTCTTTCCTGGGCTCCCTGAGCACCCTCACCTATGTGAGTACCACTGAAACAGCCCCATCCCTGACCCCCACACTCCCACTCCTTCACCTCCATGGGGTCTGCAGCCGCCCTCCCTCCTCGTGCTGCTCCAGGGGGGAGCCTATGTGGTGAAGCTGCTGGAGGAGTTCGGTGCTGGCTGCTCCATCCTGGCAGTGGTGCTCCTGGAAACCATAGCTGTGTCCTGGTTTTACGGTAAGAAACTGCCTCTGTCACGGAAAACATCCCGTGGGCACCTACACAGGTGTGTGACCCTACACAGGTGAGTAAATCCAGGGATTGAGGGACAGAAGCTTGTGTGTGACTCCTGGAAAGGGGATGGGTGGGGTGTCTGTGTGGCTGTCAGTGTCCCTGTACCCAAGTGCCCGGTGGGGCTGTGACAGCTCTCTCCTCTGGCAGGGATACAGAGGTTCTCCCACGATGTCAAAGCCATGCTGGGCTTCACCCCAGGGCTGTTCTGGAAGCTGTGCTGGGTCGCTGTCAGCCCTGCCTTGCTAGCAGTGAGTATCCATGGCCAGAACTACAGACAGGTCAAGTGCACCCTCGTTTCATCCTCCTGGTCCATGGCATCCCTGGCAGGGCCAGCCACAGGTCCATCTCCGTGCACAAGGCTGGATCCATCCCCTTTGAAATGCCAGCTCCCCCGACACTTCAAAGGCTGCTGTTGGCAAGAGGCAGAGGGGTCTAATCTCACTGGATCTGCAGGAGAAGAGGCCTTGTGAGGATTAATTATGACTCTAAGCGCTCTGCCCTGGTTATTAAGAGAGGAGTATTATCATCAAAGCAGACAGCAAACGGTCTTGTTTCAGCACAGGGACACGGAGCCTTCACAGGCCACTGTCTCACGGGGGGTCGTTAGACAAAGACCCCCAGCCCTCACCCAGCAAGGGGGGGAGCCTGGGAGATGGCACTGACATGTCCACGCTGGCCTGTCGTGGTTGGGAGAGCAGGGGGAGCAGTGGGATACAGATGATGTTAATAGAATCATGGAATCACAGGCTGGTTTGGGTTGGAAGGGACCTTAAAGATCATCTCGTTCCACCCTCTTAACCTGATAACCCGTGGGATGAGCTGCCATCAGTGCTGAGGCTGGGGAGATCATGGAATCAATTGGGTTGGGAAAGCCCTCTAAGATCATCAAGTTCAACCATTCCCCAGCACTGCCAAGGCCACCACTAACTCATGTCCCCAAGTGCCACATCCACGTGGCTTCTAAATCCCTTCAGGGATGGGGACTCCACCACTGCCCTGGGCAGCCTGTGCCAGGGCTGGACAACCCTTTTGGTGAGGAAATTTTCCCTAATGTCCTAAACCTCCCCTGGCACAACTTGAGGCCATTTCCTGTTGTCCTGTCACTCTTTACCTTGGAGAAGAGCACTATCCCCACCTGGCTCCACCCTCCTGTCAGGGTGTTGTAGAGAGGGAAAAGGTCCCCCCTGAGCCTCCTTTTCTCCAGGCTGAGCCCCCCCAGCTCCCTCAGCTGCTTCTCATCAGACTTGTGCTCCAGCCCCCTCCGCAGCTCCATTCCCTTCTCTTGATATGCTCCAGCCCCTCAATGTCTGTCTTGGGGTGAGGGGCCCAACCTGCTCACAGGATTTGAGGTCCCTGATGGCTCTGCTCCGCTCGTTACAGTTCATAGTCATCAGCTCCCTCCTGGACCAGCCACCCCTGACCCTCTTTGACTACCAGTACCCCGAGTGGAGCACCTCGGTGGGACACCTCATTGGAGCATCATCCTTCATCTGCATCCCCTTCTACATGGTGTACAAGCTCATCTGTTCACCAGGGTCTCTCAAGCAGGTCAGGAGCAGGATGGGCAATCTCATGGCTCCTGGGTGGGTTGGGGTGGGCAGAGCCCCCTGCTCGGGTCAGCTCGAGACCAGGGTCAGGGAGCTGGGCAGGTGGTTGTGTCCTCAGCCTCTTTGTTCATATGGCAATTAAATCCCACTGGGAGAGCTGCCTGGGAAGTGCTCAGAGGAGTGTGGCTTTGTGGTAGGAAGGGAACCTGTCGCGGTGTAGTTGTCATAGTTGTTAGGTTTAGTTGATATAGAAAAGCACATACATACACACACTGCACACACACACACTGCACAAGAAGTTGAGACCAAGTGCTGTCTGCAGCCTCAGCGCAGCAGCATCCTTTATTAGGAAAGCTAGCCCACATTTTTTCACACACTTTTTTGTAAATAATGTAATTTCTACAAAATACTGTTATCATGCACCTGCACCATGAACATAGCCAACATTTTTGTCCTTGCACATCTCTATCCTCCCTAAACCTACTTATCAACTTGCCAATTAACTCCCTGCTTCTCAAGGCCGTGCTGCTCATGGGAATGGTTAATTAGCTTCTCTGCTTCTCACGGGAACGGTCTTATGCCATCCAGTATACTGTACTCTTCTAGGGGTTCAACTTCTAGGGGCTCAACGGGCCTGCTGCTTCCCCCCACAGAAACCCACTGTGTTTTCCCTCTCCTGCTCTCTCCCTCAGCGCCTCGCTGTCTGCATCCGGCCAGAGAAGACCACTCGAGCCCCCCGGGCAGAGGTGGTGGGCTTGGCACCCATCCTGTAGAGCACCAGCATGGCCGGGGGACACAGGGACTGCTGGGGCAGCAGGAGAGCAGCTGCCACCGCCTTCCTCACCACAAACTGCCCCTCTTTGTCTGCCCCGGTGCCAGTGGCAGCAGCTCCGTGGTGTGCCTGAGCATCCCAGTGGAAGTGACAACGCTGGCACGTCCTGGCAGACTGGAGCCTGTTCTCCCTTCTGTCAGGGAAACCTGTGATCCACAGCAGGGAGGACAGGACCCACCACAGGGAATCCTCTGATTCACTGCAGGGAGAATGGAAACCACCACTGTGTCCTGTGGGTTGGAGGCCAAGGGGCCAAACTCCCCGGGTTGGAGGAGAACCCTGATTTCCAGCACAGACAGAGGAGGAATTTCCTCACTGGAGATGTCCACGGCCTGGCTGTGCAGACCCGCGGGTGGGAGCAGTGCATGTCTGTAGCTGTCCTGTGACACGGAAAATAAAGCTGATCTCGATGCTCGGAGGGAGAGGAGCCGGAGCCCGCCTTCCTGCGTTCATGGAGCGCCGTGCGTGGCTGAGCTCAGGGCTGGGCTGGGGGACACGGGGGCTGCCGCTGTCCTGACACACCAACACCTCGTTCTGCTACAATGGTCCAAGGCCCAGCAGAGGAACTGCCTGGCCCCGGGATGGGTTCCTGGGGTGGGTCTCGGCAGGTGCTGCCTCAGCCGGGCAGGTCGGTGCCTCCTGACATCCCATCCTGGCTGAGCCGGGGGCATCCGGAGAACTGGCAGCCTCTGGCATTTGAAAAAGGGAAAGACCTTTACATATCTCGTTTTAAAACCAAATTCTAGGTCGGGGCAAAGCAGCCCCGGGCTGGTGTGAACCAGCCACCTGCCGCGGCTTCCAGTCGCGTCCTGTCGCTCCCAGTGCAGCCTCGACGTTCCTCAGCGCCTTGGGGCCAGTTAAACACTTCCAAAACTCACTTTCACCGCGGCGGAGGCTGGGGGGGGGGCACACGGGGCTTGGAGGGACACGGAGCCGGGGGGACATACGGGGTTGGGGGAGACGCACTCGAGGGTTCAGGGACGCGCACTCCCGGTCCCGACCCCGCTCCCGATCCCTCGGCCGGTCCCCGGAAGGCCGGAGCCGGGGCGGGGCGGGCGGCAGGAAGGGGCAGGGCCGGGCCTGGCGCACAAAGCCCGGGGGGCGGCGGGGCTGGGACTGTTCGGGCCGTGCTGTGTCGCGGCTGTCGCGATGGGGCTGTCGGCGGCGCGGGGCTGGGCGCTGTCCCCGGGCCCGGCGGAGCGCAGCCGGCCCTACGCGGTGCTGCAGCACCAGAACCTGGGTGAGGAGCGGGGGGCACCGGGCACAGCCCGTCGGGGGCTCGGGAGTGAGTTGTCGGTGTTTAATTAACGCTGTTTCTTTTCCCGCCGCAGTGCTGCTGGGCAGCATCCTCAGCGCCCTCCTGCTCACCATCATCCTCATGGCCATCTGCGTGTACCGGCCCGTGCGGCGGCGGTAGCGGAGCGGGACCTGCCGGGGCATCGAGGGAATGCTGCATCCCACCTGTTCTCCCGTCTGGTACCCACCGTCCCACCCCTGCTCTGGTCCAGTCCGGTTCTCCCATGTGGTACCCGCTGTCCCGCCGCCGCCGGCGATGCCCTGACCATGCGGGGGTGGCTTTTCGCCCGTCTTGTCCCGCGCTGCATCTTGTGGCTCCATCGTGACGTTGCTTTCAGCGAGGGCCTGTCCAGGGGCTGGAAATCACACCCCAGCCCTCAGCGAACGGGCTCCTGGAGCTCCCGGCAGCGCGTTCGCAGCAAACCCGGCTGGCTGTGAGGAGGGTCTGGAACAACGCCCCCTACTCCCAAATTGCAGCGTTCCGGCGAGGATGATCCTACAGGATGTGCTCGGGAGCATCCCCGGTGCGTGCGGGCGCCCGGGGCCTGGATCAGCACAAGAACATCATCCAAGGAGCAGGTCCACACGCCCGGTCACACCACAGCCACGTTTGTTTTCCCATTATTTCAGTTCCTTGTTTGAACGCTGAGTCTCGGGGGTTGGACAGGGCTTGGAGCAACTTGGTCGAGTGGGAGGTGTCCCTGTCTGTAGCAGGGGGTTGGAACAGGATGATCTTTCTGGTCCCTTCCAACCCAAACCGATCAAAAATGGTCCAAAGGCAAAGGCTCAGTGACCCACCACAGCAGTGGGGGGGTGGAGGGTGTCTGGCACGTTCTTGCCTCTGAGCAGAAACACCCGATCCTGGTGTAGCTGTTCAGGGCTAGGCTTGTCATTCCCAACGTTATTTGCTTTAACTCTTGGCTAAATAGCCCCAAACAGCCTCATACCAAACCAGCCCTGCTGAACCTGTTTGGAACTGGGGTGCAGCTGAGGGTTTCCAGCATGTGCTGGTCACTGTCCTCCTGGAAACAGGAGCCTTCAAAGGTCTGCAAGCCAGGCAGATGCTGGGACCTGCCAGGCTCAGGCTCTCTGGAAGTGTTTGAGCTCCAGCCAGACCCATTTATGCATTTTCAGTAACAAATCCAAGTGTTTACACTGAATCCCACTCATACGAATGCTGCTATTTTGTTTTGCACTGCTACGAGTAGTAACTGGATTTTACTAATTATTACTTTGGTATTTAACATTTTGTTAGTAATTTATTTAGTGTCTTAAAATGTAACTTCCAGAACATTTGTGTTGAGCTTTTCTCTAACCCCTTGTGCTGCATCTGAGGTGTTTTCCCTTCCATTTGAAGGACACCAACTACTGGCATTGAACGGGGGGAGTTTCTTTGCTGCTGCTCAGTTGGTGAAATGACAGTAGGAAGCTCCCCTAGAACAGAATGAGTTCTTAATCCAAATGAAACAAGAGTGGGGAAGCAAGGCAGCACTGTTCTATTGCTTTCTGCTCCTTTTTTTGCTCACTGCTTCCTGTACCCTTGATTTTTCTCAGTCCTTCATCTGCTGTAAAGCCTGGCCTGGAGTCTGTGCTGCTCACAGGGGTGGATGGTGAAGCTCCCAGCCACACTCCGTGTTCCCTGGAGCAGCATTCCTGTTTGCTTTCATTCTTCACTCCCTGCCATGCCTCTTTGTACAAATAAAGAGCTCAGTAAACAATCTAGACTCTTATTTATTCATGGATGTGCTGTTCATTATTAACTGGCCTGTACTGTACAGAGGGAGGAAGCTGCCCCTGTTCCCACCTCTGGTCACCTCACAGTTCCTACCCTGCTTTCAGCAGTGAGGGAATGGGAGGGCAGTGCTGGGGGAAGGTTTCCATGGATGTTTGTTAGCAAGGAGCTGTTAACAGTGCAGTGAAAGCTCATCCTGCAAGCCTCGTGCAGTTACCAGCAGTTCAGTCACGAACCAAAGCTCAGCCAAAGCAGTGTAAGAAGGGTTTCCAAATAAAGAAAATCAGGAATTACTGTTGTAAAGAAGTCAAAAGTACAAAAAAAGCACATTCTCAGTCCTGCTTTCAGAAACAAACAGCATGAGATTAAAGAACTTTTAAAGCTGGTTATAGTTTTAGAACAAGCTCTAAGTGTTTGTAGCACTGAGCTTCTCTTTGCTACGTCAGCCTCCAGCTTCCTCAGAAAGAGAAGTTGTAATCAGCTGTTACACAGCAATAGTGGCATCAATATTAAACATATCTGAACCCTCTCCTCATCTCTGTTACTCACAAGAAGATGCAAACAAAAATTAATAAGTTTAACCCCCTGCCTTTCACTGCCTTAGATCTGTATTGACCTGATCCCCTTTTTCAAGACAGGAAGACTCAAAATTTGGCTGAAAATGTCTCAACAGTGATTCTGGGGATTGTGTGTCTGATTCAGACTAAACCAGAACTACCTTTGAGAATTTCATAGATGATAATGTCACTTTAATGTACAAAAATGCCACAAAATACTTATTAAAACAGACTCCAGATAACACATTTGAAAAAATCCTTGTGTGTGGTGTGACATGTGCTGTACTTTTGGTTTTATTTCCAACACACCCAGAGGATCCATCGTACACTGTATGGGTTGAAAGTCAAGCTTTAAGAAAAGCAGCACCTGGGTGAGGGAAGCAGGGCATTCTAGTTTAGCTGGAATGATACAAATGTGATAGAAAGCAAAAAACCCAAAAGCAAATCCCATTTATTTTACAGTCCCGGACTAAGAAGCAGTAGCATAACAAAACTTCAACTGAAAGTGCTCAATGTTCTTTAGTTTAAATACAAACCCAGAACAAGTCAGCTTGAAAAATGATTATTTTTACCCCTCCTGTAACCTGTGAAATGCTTAACAGAAGACAGGCACTGCCAGACAGCTGGGTGTGTAAAGGCAACAGCACTCTTTATTCCCACTGGAGGAAACACCCAGGGTTTCATCTCCTACCTCCAGCCTTGTCAGGAGCTCAACACAAGGATTATTCCCTTTTTCCTCAACTGTGAGAGTCACAGTAATCCCCTTTTCAATGAAAGGTGCAATTCCAACCCAGCCCACTGCTCCTGTGCAGGACAGTCCCTGCTCCTGCAGCACCCAGGAAGCTGTTTTTAGGGAATGAAGCTGTACCAGAGGACACCACCAGTGTGGAGAGGCCAGTCCTAGTGCACACTGAAGGAATTTTAATAATTTCCTATGTAAAACAATGGATTATTGGTTTAAAATAGGGTTCCAAGTTACCAACTATCCCACTGGTTATGATCAAGTCCATTTTATAGTGATTTTATACTGGTTAATTAATAGCTGGTCACCCAGAACTGCCCTGTTTAGCCTGAGGAACAGGAGCAGGGTTAGGAGCAAGCTCAGAGCAGGGGTACCATAGGTTCCTCCACTCCTGCCAGCCAGAGCAGAGGAATATTGCTCACATTTAACAACTGTAAGGCTTTCCTGTGGCTGTTCATCGTGTACTTGTGGAGTGCACTTGAGAGTCACAGTGTGAGTACTGTAAACACTGACAGAAGTGCAGATAAAAGAGCTACAAACATCCTGTATGGCCAAAAACCTGAGGAAAGCTGGTTAAAACTGACCTGGGAATCGTTACGAGACCAGTTTTAGGAGTGTAGGCCCAGTGGCTTGGTTTAAAATCAATAAAAATATTCAGATAAAAAAATAGATGTATTCACATGAAGGATGAGCGCTGGGG